TATATATACATATGTATGTGTGAGTGTGTGAGTGTGTGAGTGTGTGTGTGTGTGTATGTGTGTGTGTGTGTGTGTGTGTGTGTGTGTGTGTGTGTGTGTGTCTCTCTCTCTCTCTCTCTCTCTCTCTCTCTCTCTCTCTCTCTCTCTCTCTCACCAGGTAGTCTACGTAACAGCCATCTTCCCATACATCCTGCTGAGCATCCTACTGATCAGAGGCGTCACTCTTCCGGGGGCAGGGGAGGGAATCCGCTTCTACATCACCCCCAACATACAGAAGCTGGGCGAGTCTGCGGTAAGTAAAGAAAGTAATGCTGTTTGATTTAGTGTAGTATAGATAGTAGTATACAGGCGAAGACATGGAAATGGATTGGGCACACCCTGGGGAGACCCCCAACAAGCATCATCAGACAGGCTTTGACGTGGAATCCACAAGGAAAACTTGAAAGACCAACGATGACATGTAGGCGAGCGGTACAAGCGGAAATGGAAAGGGCGGGGACTTCATGGAAACAGCTAGAAAAGGATGCACAGGACAGGCTTCGCTGGAGAAATGTTGTTGAAGGCCTATGCTCCTCTGGGAGTTAAAAAGGGCAAGAGAGAGAGAAAGATAGATAATAGTATAGATTGTGAAGCGCATAGAGCTTGCTGTTGGGCGAGATGTGCGCTATACAATGCCATCTATTATAAGTAGTAGTAGTAGATGGGGTGCTGAATTTTTCTTGTCTTTTTAACCCTATCCGTACGCCATGGGATCATTTTGTACCCCCGGGGTTGTGTTCTACACATTTTAGAATACTTCTAGTACAAAGATCTCTTCGAAACTCTCAGTATTTCTCAAAAAATCCTTTTTACAGACTGCTATGCAAAGCGTACGGATCGGATTGACGAGTAAATTCCTCTTTGGAAAGTGGTGGCACTGAGTCCCCCACCTCGTATGGATACGATAGTAAAACACGTCGTAGGGATAGGGTTAAATGTAGGAGCGCGCGAAACACAAGTTGGCTGCGTTCCTAACAAAGAAAACAAAGTGGCTCGGTTTGGGGTAATATTTGGAATAAAATGTTTTTACAATTCGTGGTAAAAGTTTCGTTGTGAAAATAACAGTAATCGCTTATCTTGTAGGCCCTATCGCTGTAAAATCTTGGGTGATTAGATTTTCTATGAAGGGAGGTAAAAGCGGTAGTCATAATAGAGTAATGTATATTACATGGATTGTCTTTCATGGTATAAACCTCGTCAGTCCAGAGCAGATGAACGTTATTATAATGGTCGCTTTTAAGGACAAGCGGGCTAACCCTGATTTCGGGGATTTCCAGAAATCTTGACCTTCACCATAAGTGGGCATTGTCCTACATATAGGGGAAGTTTGGTTTCATTGGTGGGTATATTTGTTTGGTTATAGAGAAAACTCGCCTTTTTTAAAAACGAAACTGAACTAGGGGCAAAAACTTTACCTTCAACTTTCTCAAAACTGAGGGATTTCGTCCTCAGTTTCTTCTATTTGAATTGAAGGGATTCAATGACAAACAAGCTAAGTCACATTAAACCTACCACAACTTTACCTATTATAAAAATGTCTTGTGGTGGATTTGGCTTGTTCTTTTCTTGAATTTCTTTTATAAAAGATACTGTTCTAAATGCCATACTTTAGTTTTTCGCTAAGTTGACTTCACAGGGAAATTCTACAGGTACTGTTGTAAGGAGGGTGCGGTGGCGGAGCGGTTAGTGCTCTCGTCTCCGAAGCGGAAAGTACGGGTTCGAGCCTCTGTTCGGA